ACCACCACCACACTCTGTTTAAATTGAAAGATTTAACCACAAGTTGGTCTTTGATTGGTTCGAGCTTGGTTTCAAAGATTAAAAATATCAAAAGGTCATAGGTTTAAATCAAAGAGGAATAAAAATCCCCTTGTAATCATGAAGGTTCAAATGCGATGACTCCGAGTTATCTACAAAGCAGGTGGTCATCCTGAGATTAGTCGGTTCATATAACGAATTGGATATCCAAGTTAATAAAAAAAAATTGGAAGATTTGTTTATGGTTGTAATGATACTTTAAGTTAAGCTTGTTCTTGACTCTATCAGTAAAACACAAGACAAAGGGAGTGTGGGAGCAGTTGGGCATCAATCTCAAGTCACTCTGTTTTCCTCCATAGCCATTTTTATATTCTTTCATTCTGGACATGGTCTTTGGTACAACCTCTAGAAGCATATGTACAAGTCATCTAAGCGTGTTTGTAGGAGAAAAGGTTCATAAGAAAATGGCACCATGGAATCATGGATGGTGGTTGAAATCTTGGTTTTCATCATAGATTTTTTTTTTAATCATCAATTCAATCTCATCTTTTAGGGACCGTTTATCAAACACTTATCCGGTAAATATTTACCGGTAAAATTTAACACTATTATGTACTTACCGGTTAAATTTTTAGTCCACCAAAACGACATAGTATACAATAATTTTCCCGATAAACGCTTACCGGGATAAAAGTCGTCGCCCTCACTTATCGGGTAAGACTCTTAATCATTGTCTCACTCTTACCGGGTAAGATTTTTGGTCCTTACTATATTCATCCGGTGAGGTAATGTTACTTGACAAGCGCTTACACGGGTAAGCGTTTGGTAAACAGCCCCTTAGTCATTTATCTCCACATTTTACCTAAATATCACTATTTTCATAAAAGGGCACTTACGTAACTTGCGGAGGTAGCTAAAAGACAAAAGGAATTTACATAACTCAGTCAGTTCCACAAGCGATGGTGAGGATTTTTACTCGGGTAAATTGTCGTATACTATACCATTTTAATATACTACAATCTTATCTGGCAAAATATATTATAGTGTTGACTCTTATCGATAAGCGTTTACCGGGTAAGTATTTAGGTAAACGGTCCCTTAATTACTCTCTTTAGAGGATCACATATTTTCATTTGGATTTATTTTAAAAACATTGGATAAAATAAATATTCAAATTTATTTGATTATTATTTGGAAATAAAACATAAAAATGAAAGTTAGACTGCGAATGTTGGAAAACGACAAGGGAAATGTGAAGAGTTAATGAAGGGTCGAGTCCGTGTCTACGCTTACAATTGACGAGTCAACTCAACTTTCAAACCAACTCATTGCTACCTTTTTTTTTCCCTTAGTTGTAGTTAATTCTTCATATCCCATTTATAATCAATGAATTTTTTCAAACTATATTCACCAATCCGGAGGGATGGAAACGTTATCGTTAAATTACCGTATCGAATGAATATGACAATGACCGATAATCTTATCTGGTAAGCAAGAGTGACGACTTTTACAGTCAAGTGTTTGATAAATGAGTCAAAACCGTGAACTTTTTTTTTTCCCAACTATAACTGAACCATAAAGCAATGGCACGATTCAACTTATGCCATTCATAGTTGTGACTCTGTGTACAACTCATCATGCATCACATACTTCTTGTAACTTGCACACGCACTTCTGTAGGGGTACAACTCAAAATGAGAACAGTAAAATATTAAGAATTATAACATGTAAAATGATCAAAAATGACATATTAAAAAATTAGTCAATTACAATATCTTATAATATAATTAAAATAAATATTTAATAATATAATATCTATACTATATTATAAAGCATTTGGCTAAAACTCTTAAAAACTCTTAAAACTCTTAAACTCTTAAACTCTTAAAAACTCTTAAACTCGTTCATCTCTATCCAATTTCATCCCATATCTGAATTCGTGTAACTAACTACAGATAAACACAATCAAATACAGGATAAAAATCCCATTTTAAATATAAAAAATCTAAAATATAATTAGGATAATCATTGAGTTCTAACAGAATACTTAATTATTATCTTTATAAAATATTATATTATTAAACAAAAAATAAATTATTTCATTATTAAATTTAAATTAAATTATAATAAAAAAATAAATTAAAG